CAAATGGCAGGCGTTTTGATATCTATCATTAGCCCTTTAGTTGACTTCGGACTTGATGGAGGGGAGGAACAGACAAAGTGAAAAGGCACCGTAGAGAGAAGAGTGATTCAAAGATGTAAATAGACAGACAGACAAAGGAAAAGGAAAGATGAGCATTGTGGAAGGGGTCGAATATGACATAGAGTTTGGTCATGGTAGGTAGAAGTGAGAAGTCAACTTCCGATAAATAGACCTTTTGCGCATGAGTATACGTTGCCCAGGGTGCACTATGCGAAGGTAAATCTATCGCACACCCCTCATTCTATTATAGACCTGCCTCTAGGTAGGTCACTGGTTCTAGTTATTACTGCGGTATTTTTCCTCTCCACACTCTAACACTCATTTATCATCTGTTGCACAAACCCAATAGCAACCACTGAGCTGTGTGTGCAGAAAAACTTTCCATTTGTTATCATCCACCATCGGAAAGACATTAGCAGACAAAGAGCTGATAAGTACGGGAGCGATGACTGTTTCAAGCAGCTTCCTTTGGGCCTTACTGATTATTTGTTTGGAGTTTATGGTATTCAATCTTGTAGTCTCAGCTCTCAGGAGAGTCAAAGTAGATTCTGATTCTCACTGTTTATTTTCCGAACTGAAGCGATGACTATTCCAAATCTGAACCCACTTACATCCAGACCCTTTTTGCTATGCGTTATGCAGCATGGGGCAGCACGTTGAAAATTTGTGTGTCACTCCTCTCCAAAAAACTTTTAATACTTAGCTAAACTACTGTTCTGGCAACAAGAATCGCTTGACCTCTGAAGATTTCATCATGAAATCTCTGCTGATTATGTGATACTTGTGGATTACTAAGTGAGGTAAGCCTTTCACGGAGTATTGTGTCAGTTGGATCAATTCCAAATTGGAAAATCAAGTGCATGTTGGAGGAAATTGGGGGAAAATACATCCCTCGGTAATTAAGAAGGCCATATAAATAGGCGTCCAAATTCAGAAACCCCAACTTTCAGCATGGCCTTCTCTCTGTACCCACAGCCCACCCAAAGATAAGAATTTTATTTTAGCCACCCATGGGTGTGGGATAGACTTACCTCGTGGTGCACCCTGGGCAACGTATAATAATACGGCAAAAAAGTCTATTAACCGGCAGTTGACTTCTCACTTCAAACAACCATCACCCTCACTCTATGTCATATTCGACCCCTATCACAGTACTCATCTTACCTTTCTGTCTCTTTTACATCTGTGAATCACTCTTCTATTCCCCCTCCCGAATTCTTCTCACTTCGATGTTCCTCCTCCCCTCTGTGAAGCCCGAAGTCAGCTAAAGGGCTAATGAAAACTATCAAAACGCCTGCCATTTGCTATAAATAAATTTTAGCCACCCATAACTCTGCTCCAAAAGTACTCTAGCTTCATTTAGCACTCTTATAAGAGAAACGCTTTGAAATGTCATCTCATATTCTTTTGTCATGGGCTCTCTAGTAGGCAAGATTTCGACTGCGGACCACTCCAGTTCACATCTTAAATTGAGGTATTTATTAGGAGGGCATTACCACGAGGCACAAGCGTAAATACAGCACGCAAGAGAATTTAGACATGCCCTCTTCAGCGGATAGCCTCCGTCACAACTTGAGCAAGTTTAACCGTCGCACGCTTTATGACAGACAGTGGAAAGCGCCATCTTGAGGGGAATTTAGTAGGCAGATCACGTGTCTGCCTCAAACCCCTTAATTACTCATCTCCGTTATAGGGGGGGGGGGAGTGTATTGACCATTCAATCAACCATAAATCAAATTTGCTTATGATTGCTCATTCAAATAACTTTGAGAGGGCGAAACCGCCTTTGGGGTGGGTTGTTTTCCAACTCAGTTACTTCGTGCACGTGACAATAAACCGCCCAAAGTGTAAAGGCAAATTTGGAGTTTGCGACACTGGTTGCATTACGCAAAAACGATTTATTGTTAGAAGGATAAGAAATTGGTGCAATGCTTTTCCGAATGCGCACTTTTCAAAACATTGAAATTGGCTAAAAGAAACCAACTGATTCGATTTCAAGCATAAAAATATAATATATAAACTACTTCATAAACGAATTTGATTTACCTAGCCAGAACTGACGCGGAGATGATTTTCAATTTGCAATCTAACTTAGAGTGGGATAATTGCCCAAATGCGATCTATTGGAAGCTATGCAGATAATTAAGATGGCCTGAAAATTTGCTCCCTATAAAGGCCTCCAGACGTCTAAACACTGACTGCCTTTAAAAGCATTGATATATCCAGGAGTTCAGTTGTTTTAATAAAAGAATGGAAAGGGGGCATTAGAGATGAAATGTGCTAAAAGTCTGCCAAGGGATGGCATGCAGGAATCACGATAGAAGAGTTTAGATCGACGTTGAATTTATCGATTATCGATCAAGGAAACTTTCTTATTCCGTTTAAAATTCCCGATTTTTTGGGCGTCCACATTTCATATAACGGATACAAATTAAATACTCCATTTACTTATCGCACATCATTTTATATGCGTAAATCATCCTGCCCTCTAAGACGCAATTTGGGATGGAAGGCTTCGAAGCTGATTTGAGAATTAAAACCAGTCTCCTTTCTATTAATGATGCACCAGTGTTTACGCTTCTCCTTGGGAATCACAATAATCCAGAAAAGCAAAGAATTAACGTCAGTCCCATGACCTACCTGGGAATAAATGCATTTTATGCCATAATCGATCTCAAGCCATTTAACCAAGGCCTTAAATGGTAAGGAAATGAGATTAGCATGCTGACTTAACGCTCACTTCCAGATATTCTCAGTTTTCAAGCTGCTGAATACAACTCCTTCCACACTCCCGATTAGGAAATCTTAGTGAGATTTTGGATGTTTACTGCCACATTCATCATTCATCGCATGCGCACTTTCTCCTTCTCTAATTCAAAAAACACCCTACAACTTCGTTTCCTCCTTGCCCTAGCTCACACCCCTTCCCCCCCCCCCCCCCCCCCCCCCCCCCCCCTCGACCCCCTACATTGACAACAATGGAATTGTCTTTGCTCTTTACACACTCACTTTTGACATCTGACAAATAGAGCGCGCTCATCTTAATTCAGCGAACAGAGGAAAAACCGGGAGCTGGGAGGGGAGGAAACGATGCGCTAATAGATCAAAAAGTAAATTTGGGTGGTTGCTCTTGAAAGTGTCCGCTTGAGCACTTCCCCCAGTATGATAAATGCACCAAAAGAGGAAGAACCACAAATAAAGCTCATTTCTCGAGTTACAAGACCCCTCCCCCAATTGAGCTTAGAGAGTGAGTCAATATACCTGGGGGCAGTAGAAAACACTTTCTCTCAAACAAGCCCCACTCTCTGTTGGTAAGAAACGTGAATAAGGGTAGTTAACTTTTTTATTTCACTTGCTATATATAAAACGAAATCATAATTTGTCTTTGAATTAAATGCTCTGAATAGATGAGCGAATCAAGCGGTTAGTTGGAGTGAAATATTAGGATTTATTCAATCTGAACTACCTTATTACTTGATTGCCACAAATTAACATCTTAGCATTTCAAACTTTAGGAAGTAAATAAGCGATTCCCGCGTCAGTTCAAAACCTACTGGAAAGGTAATTAAATTAGTTGGTTTATCACGTGTCTAATAAACAAGTAGAAAAAAACCCAGGAAAGTGACGATCTTGAATGATATAGTAAGTATAAACTTGAATTCAATAAAAATTATGGTCACTTTCTAGAATGATATTTTACACGGAAGATAGGTCTTTTCTGGCCCGGAGTTGAGAGTCGGAGTCCACCAGTCTCCTCGTCTAAATCCGCCGACTCCTCGTTATCCGTATCAGCAATTGCTTCTTCATCCTCCTCCTCCTCATCTTCGTCTCCCTCTTCAATCCCCTCGTTGTATTGGGTTCCTGGCTCACTGAGTGGAGGTAATTCTGCATCCAGTGGATCAGGAGCTGCTTCAGTTTCAGCCTCCAGAATAGCCAAAGCGGAGGACTGGTTGATACGGAAGTCCCTCGAAAGACCCATACGGATGTTATCGATTAAAGGGACCTAAAAATTTGCATATGAAATAATGTAGACCCCAGTCATAAGCAATAAAGCAGATTTTTAGTTGATTTAGGAATTCACAAGCAAGCATTCAAATGGCTGTGTAAAGCCATCATTTCAAGATTCTCTGAAGAAGTAACTAGAGAAAAGGGAGCATGATAACAAGTAAGAAATCGAATTCATAAAAATTAGTTTTTAAAGTGGCATGTATCGACGAAATGTTTTAGTAATTTGATTCGAATCCCCTGATATCTCCTCTATTACGAATGTAGAAAAGAAATGCATGTAATCATATTAGTAGTACATAAATGCACTGTGCCGAAGCGTCACCTAAACACAGACTATGCATTACTACCAATGCATCCAACCATAAAAGTAGTCTCTAGAGTTGAAGAAACAAGAAAAAAAAACCAAAGAGTGAACGTAAGTTCAAGATGAGCGGATGGTGGCAATTTTGTGGCAAATGGTCGATCGACTCCATAACGTGTTAATTCTCAAATTCGAATGATAATAACCGAGGAAGATGGCAATAGTTCGCAGGCTGATAGGGTTTTACTTAGAGTCGAATAAAATATAAGTCTTTTTTCGTACCCATTTTAGCACAGTCCTCGATTGACAAGTTCAAACGCTCAGATAACTGGACAAATATTTCACACCTGGGGTGCGTGATAGACTTACCTCCACGTGGTGCACCCTGGGCAACGATACTCATACGGCAAAAAAGTCTATTAACTGGCGATTGACTTCTGGCGCAGTACTTATCATACCTTTTCTCTGCCTTCATGTCTGTCTCTTTACATCTCTAAATCACTCTTCTGTTCCCCACCCCTCGACTTTCTGCTACTTTGATGTTCCTTCCCCCTGTGAAACCCGAAGTCAGCTAAAGGGCTAATGATAAATATCAAAACGCCTGCCATTTGAAATAAATAAATAAATATTTCACACCTAAATGGAGGGCTTTGAGAGAGAAGTAATCCATCTCTCCCATGAAATTCGGGTTGAATAATTAGGAACTTACTCACCTACTTAACCGCTTCTGAGGCAATTCGTAGGAATTTATTGAGCTGATCTTATGTTCAGTGTTTTTGTCGAACATCAATCTTAAACAGAGGCAAGTTTTCGATTTGTTATTCTACTGCCAAGAGCATGGGGAAGGAAGTAACAGGCAACTAGCTAGTGATTAGGTGGGCAAGTGCTGTGAAAAATGAGTTAGCAGTAGCGAGGTGGGACACCGCACATACGCACAAGGAGATGAAGGGGGGGGTGGGGGTGGGAGAGGAATTGAAAAAGCAACACCTGGTTTTGAGTCCAAAAGTGCAGTCGAAACCGCTGTAACGAAGAGGCAAACAGTCGTGTACCAAATGCGTGAGTATCAAGAAGTGAACAAAATGGCAAGCTTGAAGTACGTGTGGGTGGATAACGTTTTGATTTCCTACCGCAATCAGTTTGAGAACAATACCATCTGTTCTAAAAAACTGTGATAATGTAATCAAAAGGTAAAGAGGACATGAAGATTAGATCTACATCGCGTCAAAAACCAATAAAACCTTCGATAATGCTAACTAACTACAATTAAATTGTGCAGAAGATACAATAAGAGTTTAAGAATCTTCTCAATTTACTTAATCAAAAACTCATTTTACAAAGAAAAGAAATATTGGTGGGTGGGTAAAGTTATGAACAAATATGAAACTCATTGAAAGCAAATCACGCAGAGAAAATCGAAAAGAAATACATTGGGAAATATAATTAGGACTCTCAATGCAACAGCCTTCTTCTTTAATGTTATCGTTTGATAAGTAAGCAATATCTGCGCATTCACATATCACTGTTAATTACATGAAGGGACCGCAGACATTCCCATCTAAATCTACCCAAAACCAGTCTGTGAAGAAACGAATTCATTCATGTAATTTCTAGAACATGCCCTCTCCCCGATCTACGGAGAAGTAGTTCCAATGAGTTTTAGCCAATTGGTCCGCCTTGGTGGATTGTTCATGAAAAATGCAGACACTGCTCAGGGCGAGTACTTAGAATATAGGTGCTTCCAACGATTCAGTGACAGCCATATCAATTGTCCAGTAATTCATCGTTACCAATTTTATTAAACCTTCAGTATCGCCTATATTACCACAACATCGCCATAAATCAAGGGGGGCTATGGGATGCGTGGTCTTCAATGAAAATCATTATGATAACATCAAAATGTGACTCATTACATCCTAAATGATAATTTAAGTCACCTTCACTTCCCACCTCATTAGGACAAAGTTATTTTGATGAGAGAACACAAGCAGTATGAATCGAAAGTAACTAGAAATCAACGTCTATCATTTCCCTGCTTATAATTTGGACAAAGCCTCAAATCTGCCTTCCTCTACTTAAAAAATACTTCATGCTTCTCTTCAAAGTGCATTCTAGTATCGAAGCGAGGAGAAAATGAGAACCGTGGCCACATTGTATGACCAATTGAAATTCGCTGCTAACAAAGAAAGAGGTGTGATATAAAATGAGGCTTCATAAACTTGCAAATAGTAAGAGGAAGAGAGCACTACTTACCCTCGTAGACTAAGGTAAGAACTAAGTTCATAATTGCAATAAACAAGTACCAATCTAATTTGAGCAAATAGCAAACAACTTAAGAACCCTATCATTACCTTCTAGGCCTGTTGTGTGTGTGTATGTGTGTGTTTCAATTATCTTTAACGCAGCAGCAGATTATAATTAAACGTCGTTATAATGAAAGGTGTGTGCGCGAACAAAGAAGTGGATGGAATGGATGATATGTCTAATTAGGAGTAAGAGGATGGGGGGGGGGAGGAGCGAGCAAAGGAAGGTCAAGGCGTAAGGAAGGAAGTAGGGAAACAATTATGCTAATTAAAAGGGGAGTTGGAACAATGCTCTGAAGCCTGTGAGACATTAAAATAGAGGGCACTGGGAGGAGAGGAATTAAATTGGGGGGGGGGGGGGAATTTGGTGGGGAAAAATAGTCATAAATGCTCACCTTGGACTTCTTGGAAAGAGTAGAGAGAAGACTCTCGTATTGTTCAACAGCGAAGATTAACTGGGGGATCAATTTGGCATCCTTCAAATTGCGAGAAATCTTTCAAGGGAAGGGAGGAAATTGTGATTAAATATGATTGAGATGACCGCAAAATCTAGTTGCGCATATGCTTTTTCAACAGAGTTGACATAACCTTCTTAACGGTCTGAATCAGTTATTCACTTCCGGTCCATTAAGCTCCTTTCTGTTCAGCCAACTATCCATTCTTCTAGTATCTAGGACACCTTCTAACCCACCACACAGCTAACTACGAGGTAGGAGAATGCTTGCAATATTATAGCACAACCATCAACACCATAATCTCTTTGGAGCATTCTGTCTTGAATATGACGAAAAAAGTGAAACCTAGGTTTCAATAACACGTATTAGTGACTCCATACGTGTCTCCATGCCCGCTTAATAAATACTTGCATAATGACAAACGCCAAAATTCCTCATAAAATTTTATGAAAAAAAGCAAATATTTGCAACCTTACCATTGTTTTGGATGGAGCCGGATTCTTGGGCTTCACAAATGTGCTGTCTGTTTTCGCTCTTTTTGGTGGCTTCACCTCCAGGTTTTCCGCCTCTCGAACCTGTAAAAGAAGACAAGTGATCAAGCCCTTCAATTGTAGCGAAATTCTAAACAATACGAGAGTACGGACTCACCTGAATAAAGTAGACAAACGTATAGGAATGGGGTGAAACCTGGCGCCCGAAAAGACGCACCACTCGCTCAAATGTGGAAGGGAATGTTCCACAGTTTCGCTGAATCAGTGAAAGATACTAAAGAGCAAATACGTAAGTAGCGATTGCACTGAAGGTAGATAAGTAGAGTAATACAAGTAAAGACTTGCATGTTTGGTAAGCTTGCCAAGTAGGTCGAAGAAACCAGTGGTAAGCCTTATGACTTCGTAGGCAAATGCTGGCTGAATCGAAGTTTGTAAAAGTTCATCGAGAACCTCACCAAAAGTGAGGAGCATATCGCAAATGGCTAATTCACGTGCCCTTCTCGCGTCTGGCAGATTTGTGAAGATGGTATTGCTACTTTTTGGGGCGGCCACGAAAAGACCACTTTCTGTTTAGAGAAAATACACGATAGAATACCATACTGCTAAATAGATATAAGTAGTATTGGTCGATAGATAACTAACCAAGAATATCTCGTTGGACTTCCTGATTGACACTCGCTACCAACCAGGAGAGGTCATCAAGAGCTTGTGCAAGGGCAGGCATTAGAATTTGGAATAGTGAATTGACAGCACTTCTGCAACGCAACATTGGGAATGTTATCTTCATTGACTTCCTTTCTAATTTTGATGTTTTGACATGAGATGAAGAAGCAGATGAGCCGCTTGAACGAGTTCCTGATTCGGATACCTGAACAAAAAAAGATCAAAATATTTTTAGCATTAGAAAAAGATATGCTGTCCGTTGGTCAACCTTTAAACTAAGATTACGCCCAAAAAAATTATTACTTCCGTTAATGATAAACTTAAATCCCGTTGAATACAAGTCAAAGAAATTGACAACGGAAATTGCATGGAGAGAGAATATACTTTCGTCTTGTTCCACGTGCTGGAAAAAATTCGTCATAACATATCCCCCTCATAAATAAAATTTGTTGAAAAACAGTGCCAAAACCTGTCCGTTCAAGACGCATTTCGTAATAATTTTATTATCACTTCTCTTTACCTTCGAAACCAGATACAAACTTTTTCGCAATTGAATGCAGGCAGAAAGTAACCCCAGTTAACACAATGATGTTGCTTACGTAATTGCGTAGATTAATAAGGCCATAGAGGCATAAAACGTACATCATTTTCAATGCTACCAAGCGTGGTGCGAATATCAGTGGCGAGTAGAACGATTATATCATCCCAAGTTAATTCAGAAAGAGATGATATACCCGCCGAAGAACGACGCTGTCCCACATTAGAAGTACCAGCAGAATTGGCTGAACCAAGCAGACGGGCCAAGTGTAACGTTAGGCGCATTGTCTGAGAACCAACTTGTACTCCTGCCTTGCCTTCAAATACCTCATTCGAGGTTATAAGACGAAGTAGCCAGACCAGTACCCGATCAAGGCCAGAGAAATCGGGATGTTGAACGGTTGATGAGGAGGTGACACTGAAAACAACATTTATTTCGAGATAATCAAGTTGGTTAAGCAGAGAGAGAGGTGCGAGTATTTGAAACTGACCTGCTGGCAGCAGAAGATGCAGACAGAACATTAGTACGTGCTTCACAAAGACGAATAAGCGTTGGGAGAAGGATCGTAAGATCCGTAATAAGACAACAAGAACCTCGTGGGGTATTAGCCAAGAGTCTGCTCATCGATTGGTCAGGCGAATCAACACCAAGTGAAGAAGATGTGAGGTTTAGAACACGGGTCACCCAGCCCTGAAAAGGACAATGATCAATGGAGTCAGCTTCTACTATTCATATTATTGTTACTATTTATTTAACAGTAGTGTACTTTAAATAGTTTCACAAGTGAAGTCAAAGCACGGGATTGATTGGTCACGATTTGTTCTGACGCCGAGGGTTCAATTTCAATGTTACTTTCATTAATTTTGGGTTCCACTATTTCCTCTCCATTTCCACAATCTGCATCGTCCTCCGAGAGTGGTTTTGGGTCCAACGCAACGGAATGTAGCTCAGTAACTAAAGTGAGGAGGCGTTTACTTCCAAGACTGTCCGCGACAACCGAGAAGCAAAGAGCGCAGGTCTGGAGAGCAGTTGTAGCTGTTGAAGATAGGGATGATGATTTTGCCTGCGTTTCTTCACCCTCCACGTCGTCAAGGTAGGATGCATAGAAACGAATTGCGAGACTACATTAAATTTTAATACATAATTATGAGAATGCGGAAATCTAAGAAAATACTTAAGAGAAAGATAATTAAAGCACCAATAGTAAGGCAAAACCAAATTATTGGCTCATTTTCAGTTTAGAGCCATACAAAATACTATGGGCTGTCAATAAGAACGATGCAACTTTGAGTGACTAAATTGACATTTCAAACTCCAAATGTCCATGTGACATTTCCCGTTCTTTCGGAAAATCGTGACTTAGACACAACAACAATAATCTGTCATAATTGCACCGATACCTTCAGCTTAACTTTAACATGTATCTTAAATGAGAAGAAAGCTTCTGGGTTCAAAATCATTATGCTTAGATCTTCAATTCCTGTTGTCCTAAATAACTAGGCAAAAGACCTTATCCCGAATACCGAACAATTCACTTAAAATCTACAATGCTTTCTCACCAAGTTGGCACATTAGTTGCCTCGAAATACTTAGACGATTCAATGGTATTTTAACTGACTTCCATTTTCAGTGGTAACGATAGGCAGAGGAAATAAGGACTGAATTGACTTAAAGAGGCAGAAAATGAAAATAATACCGCAAAATTCTGGCCACAATTCGAACGAATGTCGATCGATAAACCACAGATAGTAGAGACTGTTGTTGAGAGTTGACTCCTGCTGTCAATTCTGCAAGCCGAGCGCAAGTAGTCTGAAGGAGTTGCAAGGCGAACGCCGGCGCCGTCGACGCGGATAGCAAAGCCCTCGGAAGGGCTGCAACAATCGATCTCAGGCCGGAGACCAAGAGAGCACCTCGTAGGCGACCCTCCGATGTGCCTACGAAGCAGAGGTTTGTACTGACTTCATTAGCTGGGGTAGAAACACTGTTTGTGGCCAATGTTTCGTCTGCTTTGAGCTGTTCCTCCTCATCTTTGTCAGAGATGCGGAAGAACAATTTACGTGCAGCTTCACGGCGCGAGAACAAACGTTTTAGGTGAGACCAAGTAGCGCTAAATCACGAATAAATTTATGTTACTGCAAGACAACATCCATAATGCCAACGGGAAGTAATCGCTGAAAGAATAAGACAATGCTTCAAAGTTCGGCGTACTGGGAGCATATATCTAGTAGCCTCACATGTTGCCTCATGGAAAGGTGGCAACAACAATTACCAAGAAATCACACTTAATTGTAGCAAAAATTAGAATTCCATAAAGGAAGCATGCAGCAAGTGTTGCTAAATGCTTCGGAAGCACTTCTGAATTTCGAAAATGGGAAAAAATTATATGGGACTTGAGATAGAAGATAAAAAAACAAAGAGAAAAGAATAAGTAGCTCATTTTATCATCAACTTACATCCCAACCCAAGCTTGAAATTGAACTCGCTTTGCGTATTTATGCCGCTTTCATAAATAGGTCAAATACAATTGATAATTTAAAGCCTGAAAATTAGCCTGGACGTGGAATTTGCGTTATACAGAAAACAATTAAGTACCAACAAGAATTTCTCTTCTAAATGTCAGACCTTGAAAGCTGGATACGCAAGTGTCAAATAAACTCACCCAGAATCCGTAACTGTATTAAGCAAATTCTTTGCCTCAAATTCCAAGCACGCATCATAGAGCCCTAAAAGCACCATTAAACGGGCTCGATTTGCCTGACCAGCTGGACTTGAGCCCAAATCAATATCTGGTGTCAAACCGAATTCATCCAGAGCGGTTTCTCGCAGAGAAGCACAAAGATTCAGCAAGAGACTTGCTGCTCGATTGAATATCCTCATTGAAAGACCAAATGATCCGCAAAGAAGTGCAGATTGGGAAAGAAGAATGCTATTTGAGGTTTGAGTGAACTGACTAGAGCCTGACGTTAAACTAGATCCTGGTTGGACAAAGGAACTTCCGAAACGTGTCCAATGATGACGCAAGAGTGGTAAGCTAAGAAGGATTTGAAGACACCATACCAAAATCTCCTGCAATTAACAAAAGAATTACAGGTTTTTTTGAATAATTAGCATGTCATTGAGTCATTTCATACCGGATGATCACGATAACAGAGTTCGGACTCAGACCCACTTCCAATGGAAATTAGTTGACTCAACTTCAATGGAACAGCTGTAACAGCCTGCGGAAGGATAAATGCGCCATCTTTGAAGATAGGTTTATAGTTTGACAGAGCTGGTTCGATACAAGCGGAGAGAAGACGAGTGAAGAGGGTCAGAACAGGCCCTACTAGACCACGATTCGAAACTGCCACCTCGCAGAGACCCTAAAATATTAAAGTTAATTTACTTACTTTATTTCAGTAGAAGCAATTGGAAAGAAAAATTAGACGAACCTACCCAGTAGATATCTGACTTCACTAGAGCAGAAGGGTCACTGAGAAGGCTTCCAGATGTACCTCCAAAGAATGTGGAATTAATTAATCGATGGAGCAAGCTCACAATCTCAGTGCAGAGAGACTCGTTTCGTTCTAGGTTTGACGGCAACTTCGTAACGGCTTGAGCCACCTGTAAAGTAATTGTCAGGTTATATGGAAAAAGAAAAGGGAACAGATCTGGGTAATAAATGATAGGAGACGAACCTGCGTGCTTTTAATTTGTGAGAAAAGGAGAAAGGCATCACTAGTGGGTACTTGGGAGAAAGTGGCGATTGAATTAAACCAAGATTGGCTACTAGCCTCACTTTGAGAACTCATTGACCATGACTGCTGCGAAGCGGTGCGGAAATTGGAGCTTCTCACCTCAAGTTTAAAAAATGACGTTCAAAGAGCAATCTCATTAAAAATTTCACTCATAAATTTAACTGATAAACTTTAGTAGGGAGAAGGCCAATTAAACTTTCAGGATACAACGTTTCCAAGAGTTAATTAATAATAGGCTAAGGAAAGGTTGTAAAAACTTAATTATTTCATTGAACTCTATTATCACGGCTGAAAAATCTTGATATACGGATAAATTTGCACCAGAAGCATCCTATCCAGCCGATCGTAGCAATATATTAAAATTATTAGGTTGGCAATTATGTCATTGCCGATTTCAAATAAGAAGGCAAATTCGGAATTTTTGTTTAAAAATATAACTTTATTCAATTAGATATTGGCCGTTCTTGTCGATCACCTTTTTCCATCGTTCTGGCAGAGTAAAAATTCCCCGTTCGTAAAATGTCTGGTCTTTGCTATTAAAAAACTGAATTAGGTGTGATCCGACATCATCCGCGTTGTTAACAATTTTACCATTTAAAGAGTTTTGCGTGGAACGAAACAAATGGTAATCCGAAGGCGCAAGGTCAGGGCTATATGGTGGGTGTGACAAAACATCCCAACCCCGTTCCAATCATTTTTGCCGAGTAACCAAAGACGTGTGGGGCCTTGTGTTATCATGATGGAAAACAACACCCTTCCGATTTTATAATGTCGGCCGCTTATCTTCAATTGCATCCTTCAGTTTTTCGAGTTCTTCAACATACACATTTGAATTTATCGTTTGGTTCTGCGGCATGAGTTCAAAATACAAAATTCCTTTGTGATCCCACCACACTGACAACATAATCTTTTTTTGCTGAATCTCTGCTTTTCATACTGTTTGGGCTGGTTGATCTTGCTTCACCCATGATCTCTTGCGAGTAGCATTGCTATAAACTATCCACTTTTCGTCGCCAGTAACTAGGTTCTTCAGAAATGGATCATTCTCATTGCGTTCAGTAGCGGCGAATCACAGATGCTAATCCGTTGCGTCAAATGAATTTCCTTTAACTGGTGAGGGATCCATAAATCAAGTTTCTTCACATAACCAAGGGTTTTTAATTTTTTTCAATGCATGTATGCGACACATTGAGCTTCTCTGCAATATCTCGTGTTGTGCTGTGACGATTTGAATCGATAATGGCCTTGATATGGGTTTCATCCACTTCGACTGGGCGGCCAGATCGTTGTGAATTTTTCAGTGAAAAATCACCGGAACGAAATCTTTCAAACCAATTTCGACACTGCCTTTCTTTTAAGGCTTCATCTCCATATACGGCACATAACTTCTTTTGTGCTTGCGATGCGTTCTTGCCTTTTCGGAAGTAATACAATAAAATGTGTCGGAAGTGCACGTCCTGTTCTTTCATTTTTCAATTGGGATAAAAACAAAACTAAAGAACTAAACAAAAAAATTTTTTACTAATTAACCTAGAAGCCCATACAGTAAAAAAAATATAGGTTAGATGCTCTGGCCACGTTAACAAGACAAAAGAAAGTATGGAGTGAATCTGTCAACAAAAACGGCAATGACTTAGTTGCCCACCCAATAGTATAGTTATATATAAATTTAAATCCAATTAATACCATCAACTGAAATTATAATAACCGATCGGTTTTATTTACCCTTAATATATGTACTGAAATTTTTATTATTCAGGCCCAGTTTTAAGAAACAGATGTGTCTTATAGAGGTAAAAATGAGGAGCCCTATGCATATATAAAAAATATAATAATAAATATGCAGGCCAATTCTTGATATTCTAAAGTTTATATTAGAAACCTGAAGAAAAGCTCCCTTAAAATCTCGCATTACCATGAACCAATCGAATACGCATGCGCTGATTCCCTATTGGTCAGCAACGTTGCGTCATCTGCACGTCACTTCTGTCCACTTGTTTTTTCCATTGCCTAAACCCCTTAAATGACAAACGAGTTAGGACTCCACAAACAGCATATAAACCAATCTTCCTTATTTTTAAACTCACTAATTAATTTGCGCAAACTAACCCCTTTCTTGAAGCATTATTACTTGTTAAAAATTTATTGATTTTAGCCTCGTTAACTCACTCGAAGGTTTTTCAGTAGGGAGATGAACCCAGCTACAGCAATACGACGCACTGGGACAGAGTAAGTGGTGGCCATTTTACGAAGAGTCGTGATTACGCGCAACTGAAGTTCGGCCAGAGCGGTCATGCCTTTCGCTGCATTGTTCGAATCGGTTTTGGCAACAGATACCACGAATAGGGGCAGGAGGGCATGAAGTAAGGCGGTGGAGACCTCCAAAGGGAAGACTCCAAGACAATCAAAAATGCGAGAGAGTGGTTCCGAAGCTGATTCAGCGAACTCCACCGGACAGAGAGCTGCCAACTCACCAATCAGTTCTGTTATCAATAGAAGGATAGTCAATTGAGGATTATTTGAATATTAGTTACGCATTATCGACTTTGCAGATAGTAAATGCGATAATGTAATCCAAACCATTAATGCTATTCGCTATTATATCATTTAGCTTCAAAGGTACCGCGAGTTAAGAGTGCTAGTTTAGTATTATATTGAAAATATATCAGAGTATAATAACATCAGGATCAATGCTATCAAAGGATTTAATAGCGATACCAGTCCTTCTGAGAATTAGATACCTCTACAGAACCCATAAAATCGGGTTTTAGGAACGTCTAAATATAAGAGAAGAGACTATTCATAGTCGAGAATGGAGTATGTACTCCTGTATATTTTACCATATTAAGCAAAATAGAGTTATAAAAAAAGTTAATTAAAATTGGAGAAAGGACAAAATGAAACACACCAGTCATTTGGAAGCATACAGGTTTGGTAGGTTGCGCCCAAATTCGATTCAGTGCAGTGGCTACAATATCCTCACGAAACTCCGGAAAATTCTAAAAGGATAAAAAAAAGTTTGTTAATAATTACTCCACTATTACTGCATTATGAGTTAGGTAGCCTATTTTCTAAATGAGTAAATTAACAGAAATAGTGACCTTTACTTAAATAAATGATGAGCCGTTAAAAGACTTTAAACGACTTTTATGACTGTCAAAAAAAAAATAAAAAAGCAAAACGTTTAAGCATCTTCTTCTAAAGGAAAAGAGAGCAATTAGACCAGCCTGGAAGATTTCGGTGAGAGCATTGATAGCGAGTCGAGAGATACGAGATTTGGGAGAGAGGTTTGAAGGCGATGAGGAGACGCTGTTCATCTGTTGTTGTTGTTGTTGCTGCTGCTGAACGAATTTACGGGCTGGGAGAGCTCGACGCGTTTTAGCGGCACCAGCTCCACAACGATTTTGAGCCCCAAAAAGGCCATTAACGGTTGAAGGAGGCGCTGCCGATTTGAGCAAAACGAAACAGTGTTGAATCAGGCCAGTGACTACGCTGCTCAACTCCGAGCCGGCGCTAAAATAATTGCATAAAATTATGCATGTTCCACAGCTAAAGTACAATGTTAAAGAACATTTGGCTTTTCATAGGAACGAAAAAAAAACAAAACACCATTAATAAAAGGAGCATAGAGACTTTAAAATTACAAGTTAACGATTTGTTCAATGACAGTCTCAGGATCTGGAAGCGGTAGGCAGACTTTTCGAAGAAACGCGGAGCCAGAAATTCGGTCATTGCTGGTGTATGTGTAAACGGTTGCATTGCAGAGATTTTTCACTATCTAGAAAACGAAAAAAACATAAATACTGCATTCCGAGGAGAATTTGAAATTATTCCGAAACAAAGCGCTCCTTAAATGCTCAGAAAACGTTCAATCGAGCACATCATCACCTTTATTGGACTTCTCCACTCAGACATGGAAATGCAAGGCCATAAATAAAGAACTCAACGGAACCAACTTTGATCAACCTGCCGACCAATCATTTATTCTTTATCCAACTCCATATCATTTTCATCGTCCTAGAGACTGCGAGATTGTAACCATAGGGCAGTATTTTAACTAATCTAATGGGATTCTAATTCCAATTAAAGGATCACTATGACTAAACCAGGAATAAATTAGAATATAAAATTTAACTTCCCTCAGAAAGCGCATATACTTTCAGTTCCGTTGGGAACGAATTCTAAAGATCGGATATGTTAAATGATAGGTAGACTAACTATACACAGCACTGTTATTTACCGGCTTCAGATACATGGTTTAACAAATTCAACTGCGAATATGTGCTACAAGATTTGTCATTATATCCTTAAAAAAGCTTAAATATTACTCATTAGGTGATAGTTCATCTAACCCTAACTACTTCACTACATCTTTAATGATGAAGAAACCATCCAATGTCAAGTATAAATACATACAAGTAACTGATAGTAAATTTAAGGTCAATATGATAATTTCACTGGTAGTTGAAACAAACCTGTGGGCTAAATTTCGATTCATTGGACAAAATTATGAGAGAAGCCCCTAAAGAAAAGGATTGCAACGAACAGGATAGCGGCAAGATCTAATAAATAAATAAATAAAATGAGTCTTTGAACACGCAGCAGAACTACCTTTAGACTTTTAGCTATTTGATCAGCAATGTAATCATGTTTCCTCAAAATGGAAATGAATTGAGAGAGAGTCCTTTGAAAAAACTCTGTACCTACATCAAAACTATTAAGTGGAAAGTTATTTTAGAGGTAGGAAATAACTTACGAGCTCTGTCGCATATTTTCAATAAGACTATTTAATTTGGTTACGGCCATACCATTAATATACTACAAAAGTGATAAAACATTACATGGATAAAAGCATTTTAATTACGTACCACCTCCTTAATTCTAAACAGAGTACATATTGATACAGCCTGATTTTCCAACAGCAAGTCTTTGTCCTTAATACACTCAAATGCTTTCCTTACAATGGCAACCAAGGATGACAACGGGAAATGCTGATTCACAATAGACGAAAGGAGGGGGAACAAATTGGAAGAGTGGCATCTAAAAATGATCATAAATATGAGGAATGGCATACGCATTTGCACAAAGCCTTTCAACAATTGAGGTTGAAAGGTCTTTTGATTCTTCCAGTCTGCTAAGAAGGGTGGCAAAAACTTCGAAAATACTAAAAGAGTCGGTGAATGTTAAAAAGATTACATTTGCTTCTCTGTGCACTGATCTCGCATCAACTGAATAATATGAAATGCAATTCTCTCTCGTTTCCATGGTTCCATCAAGTCAATCTAGGCAAAAATTATTAAAAATTTGTAAAACACCTACACATTGTAGAAGAAATGTAGCCACCGATTCAAGGTATTGAGTAGTAACTGAATTTTCCCAGAGGTAAGTAACAACATCTTCACACGCCTCAAGTACTTCTTCGCTTCTTGCAAGCTCTGATTCACATAAATAATCAAGCAAGAAATGATATACCGTATAAAACGCTCTCAAGACCAGTAAGTCGATCCAATGTGTATTCCGTTTTCCAAAGTTCTTGAAGAAAATTTTGAATCTAAAACAGAACATAAAACTTATACTGTGCCTATAATAGTTTGAAAATTTTTAAAAAATGTAGAAATATACATGCTAATCCTTTTTATACGTAAAAATCTGAGAAGCTGGAGACAAACTTTAGAAGACTATAAAAAATTCACATCTAAAACTGTGCTTACGGAAGGTCTTGACTGGTTTTCTAGTTCTAAAACGAATTTCTCCACATCTTTTTCCAGAAGTTCAACGCTCAAGGCCATTTTAACGCTTTAATCCTAGCGCATAAATCCAATATAATAAACCTTGGTTTCGCTAAACTCGAATTTGTGATTGTAAATTATAAAATGCAGATTTAACTTAAGGAGAATATTTCTGAGTACTCGGGTTTTATAAAATGAGTTAATTTCTTTGATTATTAGTCTTAAGAAATATTGATAAAACCCGCCAGTACATCTTCAAACATAATCCTACGAAAATCCATTTCAACTTAAAGTTGGAAGTCCGTAATTTAAGGGAAGGCCAGAGTCAAGTGAATTACACAGATTTTTTTTAGTCGATGTCCTAATATCGGATAAGAGTTACTCAGCAGTCATTTCAATTTCTTTATGATTGCTCACAAAGGGGTGAAAATTTTAGATATTTAACCCAATGACCATTATTAAACCATCCCTCAAATATAAGATTTAAGTACTGGTAGCATTTCCTTCAACTTGAGTACATTTCGACAGCCTACGTAGTTATGTTTATTATTTAAATTACATTCATTGCTCATGACAACTGTGCATCTTCACTAAATCTTCACCCCTAGGAAAATTCGGCTTAATGTATTTTACCCCTTTTCCCATTTCTCCAGTCTTGATCCGAAGTTTCGCCGTCATTTTCATCATGCCACTGCATCGTATTTGCAGCTCTTATTAAGCTTCTATTTGCATATATTAAGTTAAATCCGTAGTTGCCCTTTATTTAATCAGCAGCAGTGTATTTCAACACCAAATAAAGACCCACTAAAGCGCATTGTCAAGCACAAGCGCCGATCAACCTTCCATAAAAAGAAAACAATTCTAAAAAGCAAATTCTTAATAGCATAAAATGTACACTTTGATATTACAAATCACTATGGAAATGGGACACATAAGCAGGGAGATGGGGTAGACATTCACAAAGAGGTGTGAAATAGAAGGCTTAAAAGTATATCATAGGGCCAATAGGATGGGCAATAGAAGACGGTTCCCTGACATCCGGCCACCACCACCACCACCACCACCATCCCCATTCCCTCCAACCGCAATACCACCGCCTCCTCCCACTGGTAGATTTCCCGATATACTAGTCGACGCAGTTGGGGGTGCTGAAGAGACATTGCTTGTGACAGAATAGGGTTTAGTAGGGTACGATGGGCTGCGGTGTAGCTTCGGCAGCCGGTCTAGTTGTTTGACCAGGGTGGTGAATTCTGGTCGATCTTGAGGACGATAAGACCAGCACTGTCGCATCAGTTCCTGTGAGGGAATTGCTCATAAGGGCCGTTCAAATATACACGCACTGAGAGAGGTAAGATACCCTAAACATACCTTGAAATCCCTGGGACATTGCAATTTGAGTGTTGGTTTAATTCCAGACCCCACAAGGTAGACCAATGTATCTGTTGGAAGTCCACGGAAAGGGTATTCACAGGTGAGGAGTTCATACCAGACAGTTCTGCAAGGAAAATGGGGTGATACAACTGCATAAAACATTGCTTCAAAATTATTTCATTTATATCTATTGCAGGTGGCAGGCAAGTAAATTTGTAAGGTTAGTGAAATTTAAAGAAGCAAAAAAGTCTTAGGTCACACTGATCTTAATTGATAAAACTGGCGCCCAGAATTTTTCAAGGCTACACTACTACTACAGATAAAATTTATGACATAGAAATTTATTAAGAGAAAATATGGCGTTGAGGCAATTAAGAATGGTCAAATGTATCCCTCTCCGTGACGGACAAGTATGCAAGATTTTTAGCACCTATTCGAAACCCTATCACTGAAACGAAGACAACTTGTCGTTCTACTTTGTAAATATGACCTGCAAGCCAGTTGGGATTACGCCAACGTTTTATACACCGCCAATGTCATCTGTGGCACCCATCCATCCACATTTCAGATCATGTTTCCTTTACACCAGGTGCATCCATGACCTCAGTTGACAATATGGCTTCGAATGGTCACGTTAGGCATTTTTCCATTAAAATGGTTGCAAAATATTTGTTTTCTGTCCACTTTGCACTATTATCCGAGATATTATCATCTGGTATTGTCCATTCCCTTGTGAGTAAATAGCTCATTCATAGAAATGCTGATTTTAGACTCTTACTCAGTGATTTCAGACCGTTTTGACGACCGCATCATGTATAAAAAACTACAAGTATCACAAGCACTGGTATCTAGCAACAGATTTACAAGATATAGCCAAAAATAGAATAAAATAAATGCAAAGACTAAGAGGAAATCTCAATGGTTCTTCACTTTCATCCAAACTTTGCATATGAAGGCTGTAGATTAGGAATTAAATACCAACTGCAGTTAACTGGTAAACAGACTCACCCAAACGCAAAGACATCGCTTTCCGGAGTGAAGGGCAACTCGTGTTTCGGATTGCAGATGTTGATCGCCCTCATTATCTCCGGAGCAACATAGCACAACCAATTGGGGGGAACTTGGACGTAGTTACCGCATCTACAAGGTGGGGGAAAGAACATCACTTGAATTTGTGGCACGTTGCTAAAGTTGATATATGCAAACGTGAGCTTTACTTGGCAAGCTTGCAGAAGTTGACAAAATTGAAAAGTGCAAAGTCGGCAATGACAGCTTTGTCGTTGGCCTCAATGAAAATGTTTCGGGTCTTGAGATCCCGGTGGACAATCTGTCGAGCGTGGAGGTATCCCATGCCCTTGGCAATTTGACTGGCAATGAATATCACTCGATTGGGAGTGAGGGAGTATCTCCGATGGTGCAACAAGTGGTGGAGATTCTCGCCCTAAACAAAAGCATATAATTCGTGAGTTGGGTTGATTTTGAAGTTGGAATGAGAGCCAAAAAATAATGATTAATCTTTATGCCAATCCACCAACCCCCCCCCCCACTCCACTCCACCCCTCCCTCAAAAGATTAAAGCATATAGTTCTTCTAAAACGAATAAATAAAAAAACTTGAACGGAAAAATTCCTAAGAGATAATCAGAAACCGCGATAAACAAACCCAGGAATCTTATTCATGCCCACGTTCATAAAACAATTAGAAAATACCCCGAAAGTGCAGTACCAAAACGAGAACAAGACCCATTTAAGTCTCAGTGAACAGCAAGGTGGCAGCAATGTACACAAGGAAAGGTGAAAAAAGGTAAAATTTTAAATGCAGGTTCCTGATTAATAATTCGTTATTGTGGATTTTCGGGTTTTGGCTTTTTGATTGTTCATTCCACCTGAAGGTGACCTCCAGTTGGAAATGTTAACACCTGTATCGATTTCATCACAACTCATTTCCATTCAAAAGAGAAAATGCCTCTTCGAAGACTCTCTGGTACAAAAAATTACTCCAATATAGTGTATGCAACCGGATCGCATGCAGATCAATATAGACCTTCGAAATACAAAGTGAAGCATATTCTTCAACATTCATTGGTAATTTAATATATCAGCAATTGCAAACTTTTCTAGGCCCTTGGTTTAGAAGTTGAACACCCGGATAATAAGAAATTGTAGATTTCGATATGGAAGTATCAGACGCGGTTGATACAACGCATTTTAAATATACCTCTCGTTACTAGATGTCTCTATTCCACCCCCCCCCCCCCCCCCACTTCAAGTGGAGCCAATGGTAAAAAGTAACGCGAGAAAGCGTTTTCTGGAACTAACTAGATTCTATCAAAGTTTGAGAATTGAGTATAGATATAACGAATCCATGGCACTTCTGATACGCCGCCTCATCTGTGTCTTGGGCCAATAAGAAGAATAAGAAGAGGAGGAATGACAACGTAGAGAAGAGAGCAATGAAGAGGTGTGTAAAACATTTGATTACATTGATCAAAATGAAATTGAAAATCGATAATATTAGGCCGGGTGGTAGAGCAGCAGTGGAATATCCGAGCTCATTACTCGCCGTCAGTCAATCGATAGACTGTAGCATCTCCAAATGAAAATAAGCGACGAAAATTTAGGGGGGACAAAGACAAAAATGTCCTTGTAAGATTACAATAGCTCAAGTGATTTAAAGACCAGTGACTATAATAAATGAGGCATCTAAATCATCTTACTCAATTACAATAGCCTTAATTTAACAATCAATATTTTTTTCCACTCTCAGGTTATTATCGAGATAATCACTCAATAGGATGGTTAACAAATGAAGTAAGACCACCCACTAGCCTTCTATATCCTCGTTATCACAAAAATTAATTAGCTACTAGCAGAGCGTTTTATAATTATCGCATAACAACAGTTGAGCCCATTAATTTCTCTCTTCTTACGCCTCTCAATACTACAACATATAACTGGCATCACAATAAACCGCCATATGATTCATGGACAACTTAATTAACTTCGAAAATTGGCATTACAATGAAAGCTTTCCCTCCATTCCAATTAATACATCAATAAGTTGTTATTATTATTTCAAATGGCAGGCTCCGTGATATTTATCATTAGCCCTTAAACTTTGACTTCAGCTTCCCCCAGGGGTTTATCATTAGCCCTTAAACTTTGACTTCAGCTTCCCCCATACAGCAATAAGTAAAAATAGAACAAATAAAAGTACTCAGCTAGTGTCATCAATGCAAAATCGAAAGTCCATCTGATTAAATAAACAATGCGCAAAAAAACTGACCTTGCAGAGCTGGGTGACAATAGCCAAATCTGGAGGTTTAGTGCAAGCGCCCATAAAGAGGACTAAATTATCATGCCGGAGTTTGGGAAGAGTGGCGACCTCTCGTTTAAATGACGCCAAAAAACTAGCACCCTTGTCATCGTTGTCATCCAAAATATCGATCCGTTTGACAGCCACCTCACCGTGCCATTTGCCACGATAAACAGTTCCGATTGTTCCTCGACCTATCATCTCGCCAAGTTGCAGGTTTTGCAAGGGAATGGTCCATTCTTTGAGTGTCACAGACATCTATTAAAATAGGAGTTGAAAAAATTTATCAGCATTAATTAAACGACAAAATAAACCAGCACATGTGAGCATCTCAAAATTTAGACCATTCAAACGAGCAGAAATTCAAGAACCCGCACTACGAAGCACGATATTCATCTCGAGTAAAAAAGGGGATTGGGATTTTTTGCTCCTTTCAATGTGCCTCAAATCACTCAAAAGCAATATTAGTGTCGTCTAGGGGATTGAGCATGCCAGTCTGATAGACTACAGTTCATCTACTTCTGCCCGTAGAAAAATTTTGATTGACTTACATTTTAGACAGAAAGCGAATGGGTAAATCCGGAGGTGGTAATAGGATTTTGAACATAATAGAAAAGATAATGGCATATTAAATGTTCTGAAATGCTTTTGTTAATTTAGTAGTTAGAATATTCCAGAAGTGGGGTGCGTGATAGACTTACCTCCACGTGGTGCACCCTGGGCAACGTATACTCATACGGCAAAAAAGTCTATTAACTGGCAGTTGACTTCTGGCGCAGTACTCATCCTACCTTTTCTCTGCCTTCATGTCTGTCTCTTTACATCTTGAAATCACTCTTCTGTTCCCCACCCGTCGGTTTTCTGTTACTTTGATGTTCCTCCCCCCTGTCAAGTCCGAAGTCAGGTAAAGGACAATATCAAAACGCCTGCCATTTGAAATAAATAAATAAATATATTCCAGAAGTAAAAAAAGCATACATTTTTATCCGGTACTGGACCATACTATCTTCCCCCAAGCACCTAATAAATGAGTCAAAGGCATTCTACATGCGCGACACATTAAAACGAGAAACTAACGTGACGTAACAAATTTCGAAAAAAACACGTTTAGTACGTGAAGCCGTTGTTCAAACATTTCGTTTGGACAAGTGTTAGGCAGATGGATTGTTTAAATAGGCCGTTGCAAATCATCGTTAGAGGATTATTTAAGGTGAAAATTTTGATGCTTGTTAAATCAAGATGTGAGTCAAAATAATCCACCTCTATTCAGTAAAATGGATAATAATCGCTTTGAGACATCCAAAGGATCCAGATGTTGAAGACCAACTTGCGAAAATTTCAATTCAGCAAAGTAGTTCCTTGGAAATTAGGCCAAAACCATGTGAAATACCCTAGAGAATTCACTATTTCATTATCTTCTCATACTTTGGAGTCATTCTTTTCATATTAGGTCTAATATTAAAGAGTAGACTCAATTCATCCAAACGGGCGTTGGAGATTCTATATGATCCTTCGACGGATTTGATTATTTAAAGGAATTGGAAGAACTTATAAGCTTTACTACAATTGCAACCGATTTGAAAGCTGATTCTCAGCGACCTAAGTTCAACAACAACAATAAAACTTTAAATGCCAATCACCAAAGCATATTAGTAATTCTCCCCTTAAATTATTTACGAGATTTTCAAAAAGAAATCTCTACAGTTTGCTTTGCCACCAGAGTGAGTTCCCCTCATTAATTTCGTTCTTAGCTCTACCACTGGCAGGTACTAAGATGGCGGAAGCATTAATTGTGAGTTAAACTGCTAGCGATTAAACTTCCTACCTGGTTATTAAGCAGTCTCAAGAGAATTATTGCTCATTTCCTCCCTGAACAGTGGTTGAATGCAATAAGTTGTAAACAACCCAAGACACCACCTTCCCCGCAAACAGAGTTTGAAATATACTCAATTAGAAAGTTAGTCGTGCATTAAGTGGTTATCGAGTTGGTCAGCCACAGACTTGAGTACTGCAAGTCCTGAATACAAACGGAATAACCTTTGAAGTGGATGAATATTAGACTGAAGCAAACACTCACAAATATTTAGTCCATCTTTCTCGAAGTTAATATTATTGCCGCAAATAAAAGTTGTCCCACCGAAGAAACTCCGTCAGGCCTCAATAAGTAGTCGTACTTAATCGTGATTAACTAGGTAATTTGGGGGGGGGTGTGCAATAGACTTACCTCCAGGTGGTGTATCCTGGGCAACGTATACTCATACGGCAAAAATGTCTATTAATCGGCAGTTGACTTCGGACTTCTAACTACTATGACCCGGTACTATGTTATATTACACCACTCCACAGTACTCATCTTACCTTTGCTCTATCTTTGTGTCCGTCTGTCTGCCAGTCACTCTTACATCTGTGAATCACTCTTCTGTCCCTCCTCTCGGATTTTCCCCACTTTAATGTTTCTCCCCTCTGTGAAGCCCGAAGTCAGCTAATGGGCTAATGATAATTATTAAAACGCCTGAAAATTTAAAACAAATAAATAAACTAGGTAATTTGGTGGGCATTTCTTTCTTTCTTAAACCTCTTGATTGCTGTATTGAGTTTGAAACCTTGTTTGTAATTTAGTTACTGCCATGCAATTATCGCCCTATCAACCACAATCAATCAGTCAGGTAGGACTTGAGTTAATACATCGCAGACAAAATTGATGTTCACACTTTAAAATTAAGATTGCATTCAACGGTGTCAGTAAATGACAAAACAATTGCTAATAAATCATAGAAAGAACCGATAATTTATTGACGGATTTTCTTTCATGTGAGTAAAGTAGGCATTGCTTCAAAGCGTCATCAATATTTTGTCTAGACAACCAGCAGTAGTAAGTCTCACGTGTTGTCCACAAGTTACTTCAACCGCTTTTTCTCAGATTTGGGATGAAACGGATAGAGAAATATGTAAGTTCAATTAATTAGGCTAAAATGATACTAAAATGAAGTTGCTTGTTCTTCCAATCAGTCGGAACACTATGTCGAAGCAAAAACATGAAATTCCATTCAATCTTTTTTTCACTTCTAATGCTTCTTTGAACTGTAATAATTTGGACAACAAGGAACCAAATGTATTCGAATATTATGAAAACGAAACTAATCAAAATTTGTCGATTCTTTGTCAATAAAAAACTGATAAACTAAATTAACCAACAGGCATGCTCTGAAATTGTGCAGGTGAATTTGAATGTCTCCCGTACACTTGAACTTAACTTCAAGGGCAATACGAGGTAAATTAATAAAAATATCTGAAATAGTCCTAAATAGGCCGTATCCACTGCTTTGTCTACTAGAACTACTCTCAGTACAGATGAAATAAAATTAACGTGGAGCTACTGTTAAATATTTTAGAGACCAGAAATGGCCAATTGGCGCAGTCCAAGTGCCAACCCCAACTTCAAAAGATTTAACCGCTACTTTCATTGGAAAAAAATACCGATTTCAATTTGTCAAAAGACGGGCTAATCAATATTTGGCTATCAACGACTTTCGTCATGTTATATCCGAAATATTTCCTATTGGACCTAAAAATTTGAAATGTGTATTTGCATCCTGTCGGAGTTAAAATCCGCAATAGCAATTACCCCCTTCGGATATAACGCGAGACAAAGAACTGAAGATCGATAAAGCAACTATCCAAATCTCCGTATCACTGACTGGTGTTTTTTCACGTTGCGCATGTACTTTTAAAAAGTAGACAAATTTACAGTTTTTGCGTCTGCCAACGTTGGGAGAAAATATTATGGCCTAAAAATTGTAGCTGCGTAAAGAACGAAGCCTTATGAAATCAAATGAATTCCAAAACTAAAACAAATTTGAGGAAGATAGCCAAAGTGAAATATTTCAATAGACAATTCCAACCAATATATATTTTAAACTCGAATGATAAAATAAGCAGTGAACCATTCCCCTTCCAACTTGGTCCTGTGTATCAGTTTGATGGCCACAACGTTTTCCAGACAATAGTGTAAACACATATGACTGAAAATCTTGGAAAAATGTGATCCTGGCTAGACCACGTGTTTTCTGTGTTTGAAGGTCTTCCACTGCACAAAAATCGCCTCCTCCTCCTCCTCCTTCCCCCCTAATTGTGTCACTTCTGGCAAGCCCAGAAGTGGAAACCTCTGAGTGTAAAGATCGGAGGTGATCAAATGTACGACAAATCACTTATGAATTAAAGGAGAGCTGAATGAAAAGGGACGACAAACATCTCCATTATTATCAGTTGCTCAAATCCAAGTCATGAAAAGCTGAAAGGTATGATTGGGTTTACAAAATTATGTTATCAATGAGAAGTTAGTAGACTTTTAGGAAACAGTTCGGTGTCATGATGACGTAGGAAATTGGGAGATCGAATTCTCGTTGATAGAATTTGGAATACCAAAGTATGTCGCTTTTGATACAAAAAAAGGAAGTAAGGTAATTTTGACGTCCGCACATCCAGTCTTTCCACTGACATTTCTAACGATGCTGATAAAGCATTTGCTTCTCAATAAATTTAAATGTGGTTTAATCAATAAGATCTTTTGTTGGAGTCATGTTGTAGGAAATCTAGGCTTCAAAAAAGAAGAATACTTCGATGATCCGTTAGCCCTATTCATTCATTTCCACCTTTACCGCTTATCCGAGTGATTGGAGTATTTTAAATAAGTGTATGTTATTGATTTGGATAGTATCAATAGACTTTTGAGAGGCGTTAGTAACTGTCCAAACAGTTTTAGAAGTCCTTAATGACCGAGCTGCTTTCAAATTGTTCCAAATTCCTATTTGCTATTTGCGCAAGACAAAAAACCCAAACATGAACACAATGATTACTCGTGTATGCGACGCTGTGCTCATCAATTTGACGTTGTCAACCTTGAAGTCGTGGCAACTAGAGCTTAATGAGGCTAAATTTAAAAAAATTGAAAGAACACGTTTCGATTATTCGTTTGATAAGGCTATCAAGGTGCAAAATGTTCAGAAAAAGTTCTTTAGCTGTTTCGTAATTCATAATATGGAGGGGTCAAATATATGGATGTAATTATGAAAGGATATAGGTATATTCCTACAAATTTTAAAATTTTAAATGCAAACAGGATACGAGGGAGACAGAGAAACGGGTGTGAAAACATGTGCTTGAAGATAACAAGAACATATCTGCATTGTAACTAATAAGCTATTAATGTATAGAAAATGGAAATAAGGAATGGCGAGTAAGAACGCGCGATAAGTCGG